CGGAGCTGTTGCTGTAGTTGTGAACAGGGGCGCTGAGAAATAGGCGATGGGCTCTGATTGGTTAGCTAGCCCAGTGTGTTGTGATTGGCTAATCCGCCTCTAGTGCGTGTCTAAACGTCCCGCCCCTCACCTCAGCGACATGTGCTCCAGTTGTATTGTAAACAACGGCATCGTTAATATTGTTTATCATTTTGAGCCCGATTGAGAAGCAGATGATATTATTGAAGAGGATCGTGCAGAACCTGAGCAAGTACGGCTTTTAATGGTAGGCCTATGTTTTTTGTCTGTTGTTGTCTCATACTTTTAGATACCCTGTTGTAAATGCTACTGCTTATGTTAGCTTTTAATATACGGTTTGTGTGCAGTTGTGTTCATTTGTTTCGATTTCTCCATGAGATTGTCTCACGTGAGTCTCAACTGCCGCGACCTTGTTACTATTGATTATCCATTATGAATTGCCGTTTACACCAAGTGTAATAAAATCAGAATCATTCTCGCCGAAATTTTGGTGCTTCCCTAATTCGATGTTTTAATTAGATTAGATTAGTTGTCCGGTCGGCCAAGTAAAATTCTCTTTCACTTGCCCCTTCAAAAAATGCACACAGATCATCAAAAGCATTCTCTTGCGCACCCCTGCTGGTCGGTCTGTGCACCCCTAGGGGTGCGCGCACCCCAGTTTGGGAACTGCTGGTCTAGGGTGTCCGTACGGTGCGCACATATTTACGCCTAGTTTCTTTTTTATAAATCCCGCTATGTGCATGGCAAATTGTGTACGCACATTTCCATGCCCATTTTGTGCGTACGCAACGTTTATACATCAGGCCCCTGCTGTGTAGTCTCAGAAGCAGTTTATCAGTCATTTTAGGCCGCAAAAATCAGAAAAAAGTCCCGCGAAATCCGGGAGGGACTAATCTATAGAGACATATACAAACACCAGACTCTTTAAGGGCTTTTGGCATGAGCCACAAGTTCAGGAGCACCAAAACTGATATTTGGATGTTTTGTCAAGTATACCTGGATATCAGGGAGACATTATCCTGCTCTTTTCCCATAGTGATGCTTGTCTCTGAAAATGCTTTCCTCCAGAACGGGTCTGATATTAAAGGGTCCGGCTTTACTGACAAGATGCGCGTTAAATATCGCATGCGATTTATCGTGCAGCCCTAGTCACAGCTTAACCTACAGATGACAGTAATATAGGAGATTCACAGATGAAGCTACAGCGCTAATGTAACGTGGCAGGTTCAATGGTGTGGAAGTAATGAATGCTTTTATTGCAGGTCACATCACTCATGGTCCCTAAGCAAAAGTCTGAGACTATGAATTGCATAATTTATCTGAAATTAAAGAATTAAAGAACTTCCTTAACTATGAGAAGAGACTGAGTAAAATAAATGTTTTACCTTTTCACAGGGTCCTTCTGAAGTAAACCCATTACTAGGCTCTCAAACTCTGGACTGGGCTGTGAGAAAGCAGGTTCTTAAAAAGAAAATATGTTACTAAATGTTTTTTTAAAAAAGGAACACTTAAAAACAGTACAATATCTTTAAGTTGAGGTGTCAAACCTTTTTGTCTTAGGGGTGGAGGGTCTTCATTTAAAATGAGATCCACTAGACCAGTCATATTCTCAGAGACAAAGGCTGGTTTTCCTAGGAAAAAAAAAAAAATTTTTAATAAAAATGAATCTGACCAGAAAGTATTCTGCTAAGGCAAAATCTGTGGATTAAGAGGAAATGTGTAACCTGTGAACATCTCAAATAGGATGCAGCCTAAAGCCCACAGATCACTGCAGACACTGGTGTCTGCTCCTCTCAACACCTCAGGAGCACAATACACAGGAGAACCTGCCAAAGCAACATCTTTTGACAAATCATACAAGTGCACAGTTCAGACATTACAGCCTATTTGAAAACTTAATAGAAGATCTGATTCATATCTAATATGAATGATGATTGATAGAAAGTAATGAATCTCGCTAACCTTTAATTCTGTTCTTAATGTTTCTTGGAGAGATAATGTTTTCTTTGCTGTCTCCAGCTCCCGTCTCCTCTGCCATCACAAGAGAGAAGAACTCCTCCAGACTTTCTCCTTGAGCTTTGGCCAGGCAGAAATTTGAGTACTTCAGAGTTCCCGGTCCATCCAACAAAATCTATGTGAATATACACAGTGACATTAGCTGAGCTTTGAAAAAAATGAAAGGCAAAAAAAGAAGACTAGCAGCATATAAACCGAACTTTGTCCTCACATGTGGTTTAGTGTTTGCTTAAATAACAATGAGTAGTTATTTTATTTATATAGCACTTTTCTAACCTTAAAGGGGTCATATGACGTTGCTAAAAAGAACATTAGTTTGTGTATTTGGTGTAATGAAATGTGTTTATGCGGTTTAAGGTTAAAAAAACACATTATTTTCCTCTTAACTTTTATAAAGAATATCTCTTTGGATTTGAGACTTTAGTCTTTGCAACTTTACAGATCTTCTTTATGCACCAAGAGCTTGTAACACTCCAAAGAGAAAGGAACAATTTAAATCGCATCATATGACCCCTTTAAGATTGCTTGTAGAAAAACAAATACAATAAAACCAAACAAATATTCAAAACAAATATTTTGATAAATGACAGGGCAAAGGAAAATAGCAAAATGGCTAAGTGGTGCATAATAAAGGACTAAAGCATAGAACAGCCTAAAAATGTGGTATCATGAAGTCTGTGGCTTTAATGGGAAGAAAATAGTCTAAGTCAGGAAAAACATATTTTCTTCACAGTTGTGGTTTAAATAAGTGAATTTGCTTCTCAAAAAAAATAAAATTTAAAAAACATTTTGATGATTTTGTCTCACCTGTGGAGATAATGTGACATTTATCAAACATAGGAGTAATGTGTAAGGTAAACACTTTAAAGTGCATGCAAAACATTGCTCAAGACAAACAGCTTAACAATTGTGCTTGTACACACATGGTTTGTGAGTTCGGGTCTCTTGGATTTGTCACTGCAGATGATGGCCACGAAATGTATGCAGCCTTTCCTTCTGCCCTTATACACCACCGATCTGCTACCTCTGCCGATCTCTTCATACAAAATAAAGTTCTCCATCTATGCAGTGATGGAAAGCATGAGCATTAAAGCCAAAACAAACATCTAAAACACATGGCAGTTTTGAAATGTAGTTTTCAGATGCAAAAACACACCTGAGACTCACGTGAGATTGAGAGCTCGAGCTCACCGGCAGTTTACAGCACCAACGTTAACTACTAACACAACTTCCTGACCATAGGGACACCAGAACGGTTCAATATTACAGACACGGATCAATTAAAACCATATTTTAAACATTTAAGCAATATATTGGGCTTAAATACGGTAATTGTCTTTTGCATAAATTTCCTTTCGCGCGGTAGACAACTGACAAACGGACACAAAATTAGAAGCGAAACCAACTCGCATGAGGGGAAGCCGTACAAAATGGCGATTTTAATGACAATTGTATAATATAAATGCATTTTTACATAAAATATATTTTGAAATGGTAAATATGTAAAAAATATAAAATATCCACATGCCATTTTCTCATCTCTTTTTACCTTTGCAGTATTCACACACCCCTACTATTGGACGGTCCCACGTTGCTAGGATACAGAAGAGGACGCATTGTTGCGTTTAGGAAACAGGTTCCACTGAGCATGCGCACCCGGAGCACCAGCCATTGGTTGAATGCCAAAATCTTATCCTGTTACATACACCTGCTTCTTTATGTTTGCATTATTGCTAAAGTATTGTATTAATTAGATTAATATTATGTAACCATATATATGAATTCGTTTTGTAGTATGACAGAATATTATGAAAGTTTATTTGATTTTATTCTTTTGCATTTTATTTTGTGTTGTATTTTGCAGTCAATATTTAGTATTGTTGTTTTTCTGTCACTGCGTGTATGCAAAACCAATCATATCAATAAACTAACCTATTTTTAAAGCTAAAATTGAATGTCCACTAAAGAGAATGAATAAAAGAGGGGACACAGTCAAATACGCTGTCTTCAGTTGTGAAAGAGTTCCAAAAGCAACAGTGAGGATGGGGAGTGGCGTTACGCTCAGAGAGAGAGAGAGAGAGAGAGAGAGAGAGCAGTTTAATGTTTGGGGCGGAGATCGTGTAGCGTGAGCAGTTTAATGTCTGGGGCGGAGATCGTGTAGCGTGTGATACCGGCTTTTCGGATGAGATTCTGGGCATCATAACGTCCTTAGCATTGGAAAGAGTCCATCTTCTTTATTCGTCCTTCTTTCGCCCAGAGCTTCGTTGAGTTGAATTACAGATGCTCAGATCTCCTAAAGAACAGAAATACCAAACCGGACAGGACCGCTGTGCTACTTTTCATACAGCAGGTCTTTTTGAAAGGAAGCCGGGGATCACTGGCTTTGTTTTCGGTTAATTACGAAATAATGTCAACTAAGTTTATCTGTTAAATAGCCTACCGAATAATTTGGTTCAAAACTAGCTGGTTTCGAAAAACAGGATTGTCTTCAACGACTTTTCAAGTAAACCTGCATCTGATCTGGACTGTTTACTTTGGCTTAAAGGACAACCTTCATTTTATGGTAAGATATCATGCATCCATATATCCTACACACACACACACACTTTTGATATGTTTAGCCATTGCAAATGACCAACATTGTGTATTAATGCTGTCCAATAGACTACACCTCATGGCTGTGTCCTAAAATTTAGTGAGCTGCCTAGCTAGCCAGCTGACCGGAACTTCCCTAACGATGGCCAAACGTGCTGCACTCGTTTATGAAGCCGGCTCATTTAGGTTTTTTGACTCATCCTTAACTTAAGATGTTGCTTTGCTGGTCCAGGGCCAGCCTGGTTTGTTAGCTTGTTTCTGAGGGACTTTTAGGGCACCTTTCAGCTGACAGGGAAGAAGAGAAAATAAACACTGTATTGTAGGCTGCCTTATTTTTCCTCTCAGTGAAGAAACATTTATCCTATTACTTGACTTCAAGCCAAACTACAAACTTAAGTAAGCAACTTTTAAGAAGCTCATGCTACAACCCAAGCAGATTATAGAATCCGATTACATGAATCTAATTTCTTTAATACTTTTTAAGATTTGATTTCATTCATGTTACAGCAACACATGGTGAAACTGTGACCTTATTTGACCTTTCGAGTAAATGGGTGACAAGAAGCAATACTTGTCCTCCATTTGTCTATAAGTTCTGAGTCCAAATTTGCTTTTGAGATTATATTGAGCCTCATCAGATGGAAAACATGCAGTTCTAAAAACTAAAATTAGTTTTTCTAGGTAGTGTAGTGAAGAAAATGACAGTGATACCCCATACAAGCAGATGGAATAAAGTTCATGACCCCTTCATCCTACTATTTTGGTGATGATATCACACAAGTCATGTGCCCATCAAGAGGACAGTGTTACTGCCCATGCAAAAATAAACATGATGAAATGTAAGATGTGAAACACTATTTTACATATCCCAATGGACTCCTATAAGTATATTACCATAAATATTTCCAAAAGTACTGTTCAATAACATGCTGCTTAAAGGTTTATTTGCAAGTCAGTGATCCAAAACCATCTGATGCCATATTGTAGGAATTCCACTGATTTATAATGTTAACAGCTGAATATATAGTAAATAATTGACAAAAACAAAGTGTTCTGTCTCATAAAACATCAAGTTACTTTCACAGCTGACTGTATCCCAAAGTTCTGCTGATCTCAGATCAGATTTAATCTATGTCGTGCATGTACTAAACTTCAGAATATCATTGCTTATGCTCTGCTCCTATACACTGTGTTGTATTGAGGATCATGTAGAAACCTGAAGTGAAACTGAAGTGATCATGTAGAAACCTGAAGTGCATGATTTCTAATCCTATCACAGATTACATTCTTGCCTAATTTCTTTTTATTGCATCATATGCCCAAACATAAGAATGTCTCACTTTGTTTCATAGTCGTACGAATCGCAGACAGCTGGGTCTTCCCTAGAGACCAAGAAAGCATCTGTAGAGAGACATATGAGTGCACGCTGTCCTCCAGGGTTATTTGCTTCTGCATGTGTGGTTTGCTTTCATGAGCACGTGTGCTTGACTTCATGCTGTAACAGCCGAGATAGTGTGTTACGCTCAGTCATATGTCAAGATCTCTTTCGCTCACAATAACTAGGTCTTCCTGGGTAGTGGTGTGTCAACTCAACTTGATTGATCTTTCTATACCTTTTCTGTATTTCTGGTATGGGAATGTTTTCTTTGCTCTTGTCTCTTCTGACTTAGTGTTATTTATTTATTTATTTTACGATGATGTTATTAAAGTAAGTACTTTTGAGTGACACGTACATTTGCAATGCACCAATATTCAAATTCTAGTGATTCATCATAGGCCAATAAATACTTTGTTTTGACCAATAACAAATAAATGATAAATATTACAATTTTGTGCTCTTTGGTATAAATCTATTTACAAATGACACACAAAATAAAAAAGAAGAAGAAAAAAAAGTCAATTTAAATGCTACAAGTGAATTTAGTCATCACAACAATGTGAAAAAATTATATTCATTTTAAAGTTTGCTAAAGGTTGCATTTTGTTTTTAAATACTGACTTTAATTGAGCATTAAATGTTGGCAAAAGGTGATCTAAATGTAAAAAATAGGGTAAATGCAAATCCAATATTTGCTGATAACTGATAAATAAAAAATATAATATCGTCTGATATGTATATCAATATATCATATGTAAATGACATTATTATCCATGGCATGTATTAAAGTACCATGTTACCGCAACAGTACTGTTTGTAAGGGTTGTTTATTCATTTTACCCATTTGTTTGCCCATTTGCAGACACATCAAGCAAATGCGTTTTCGATTTCTTGTCTATGATTCCCAGATTACAAGACATTTTAGAATTATCCATAACCTATTTGGTAGATAGACATCTACGTTTTTTATAATGAGCTGCTTTTTAATAATATAAGCAATGTAAGTGATAACATAGGTAATGCCCCTGCTGCTCAGACAGCATTGAGAGGTGAAAGGACACAGCCTTTAAATGCACTCAATTGATTTTTTCTTAAAGAGTTTATCTGGATGCTCATTGTTTTTCTTGATTGCCGTCTCATGAAGGGCACATGTTATCTCTAAAAAAGCTCTGCTCTTTCTCATAGTGAATCTTAATCTAGAGGGAATTGAGCTTCCTGAGTCACTCAGTGTGCACTTAGACAGACCTCCTCCACTATCTGTTGTATCTGCCATCTGTGTTGACAGCACACTTTATATTTGTTATATTTGTGGCTTTTCAAACATCACATCATGCTGGGGTCTGTTTTAGATTTCAGCATCACATTTGTCTGATGGTGGTTATCATAAAAATTGTATACATCCTCACACTCATGCACCAGACCTCGGTTTGATGGAATTTGTGCTTTATCAAAGCAGCTAGCTAATGCATAAACAAGGCCATGGCAACGCGGCAAAAATACAGGCATGTGCTAAAAGAGCTTACTTCCTGTTCCTGTTCTTGTTCCGTTACTTCTCATATTCAATTTTAGCTGAATAACCATAGACCACTCACATATAGTTTTTTTTATTTTTTATTTATTCATTCATTCATACTTTTCAGCAAGGATGCATAATGCAATTTCTATTCATGAAAAAGACTTTAAATTTATCACAGGTCCCACAAAACTAATAAGCAGCAAAACTGTTTTTAACATTGATTATAATAAGAAATGTTGGTATTACTATTTATCTATTTATACTTTTAACTTAACTTTTGAATAGTAGTCTACATGAGTTCACCTTTTTTTGGGGGGGGGGGCCTTCTACCTCATTGTAATTAGTTTTTTTTTTTTTATTATTACGTTTCTCTCATAGGGTCTTTGGATTTCTAAGACATTAAAAAACATTTTGGAAATCTAATCAGTAGGGTTGT